TCTAGGAGCCGGGTGCAAAAGGCACCGCTCCTATAAAAACAGCTACCCCACTGATGGCTAGTCACCCTGACGAAGCCGGCAGGAGGCCGGCGAAAGCTAGGTGTTTTAATGTTTTAATAGTAATAAACTTTTGTAATTTTTTAATCTCCTGGTGGTCTCACTGTTTGTGACCCTTCGAACATGAATTTACCCAGGAGTCGTCCTCCAATTTTTAGAATTTTAAAGGACATATATATATAAATAAATAAACATGTGGATCTCTGTAAATAAATCGACATGTGGATCTCTGTCCAGCGCACCTAGCGCTGAGAGCCTGGAACACAGGCAAAAACCCCCCACCCAGCCAGAGATGTGACAACGGAGCACCGAGTAAAACAACAGGAAACACTGCGGGAGGAACGTCGTTACCACCCCAACTGCTCCAGGAGTACTTGGAAGAGGGAGCGCATACAGACGATACGGCGATGGAGGAGGGAGACCCCCGAATGCTTTCGATGGGGGCCAGAGATATTGGAGTGAGGAGTAAGCATGACGACCTGGCTAGGATCGGGCCACATGGGGATGATAGGACGAAGGTAGGCAGAGAGGAGGGATACCCTAGGAGGAAGATGACCACCCGCCCACACACGGGAGGAAGAACCACCCAGGATGCTCCACGACCTATTCACCCCATCATGTGGCACCGCCGTGTTGGAGACAACGGGAAACACGGGACAACCCTTTGGGGGTTGGCAACCAGGTTGGGGATGACAGACAACAGAAAGGGAAGGTACGGCCCAGACAAGACAGCGTCGGTAGAGAGGATGAGTGCACAACAAAGGGGAGAGGAGACGAGGGGAGGAGAAGAAAGGAGAAAGAAGAGGAGGGGAGGGATACAGCTGGTGGCATGGGAGGAAGGAGAGTGGAGGGATCGATAAGGAGAGAGAGGCCCCCGAACGGGCGGTCACTCGCTCACGCACTAAAGCGCTAGCGAGGGTATGCCCGGGTTATGGAGAAGACGGACATAAAGGCCAAGGAGAGGAGAAGAGAGCTGGCAAGGAGAATGAAAGCAAAAGGAAGGAAGACCCGAGAGATAAGGCCAGCTGGGAAGGAGGAGGAGGAAAAAGAGGAAGGGGGAACGTGAAGATTGACAGGGAGGAGGGAGACCCTGGAGGGAGAGCCGCCCACCCACATATGAAGGAGGGGAGGGACAGCCCATCAGATCACCCCGCGCCGGTAATGACAACCCGATCACCCCACTCTGTAGCCCTGATGAACCCGAACCAGAAAAGGGGAGATAGACAGGGGGGCAAGGGGAAGGAGAGAGGGACTAGCAGGGAGAACGGAGGGGAGGTAGAGGAAAGTGTAAGAGATACGGGCAATAGAAAAAGGGGGAGACGCCTGGAGATTGACAGGGAGGAAGAGAACTTCAGACGAATGACCACTCCCTTGGACACGAGGGGGGAGGAGTACAAGCCATCAAATCATCCCACATTAGCGAGGGCGACCCGGTCCCCCCACCCCACACCCCCGGTAAAACCGGACCAGAAAGGAGGGGACAGGCATGGGAGTAAGGAGAGGGGGATTAGCAATAGGAATGAAGGGAAGAAGAAGGTGGAAGTTAGAGACACGGCCAGCAAAGAAAGGGGTGGAAGTATGAGAGCCGGCAGGGCAGCAGAAGGTCCTAGACGAATAGTCACTCGCTCATGGGCGAGGGAAGAAGGAAACAGGCCACCAAACCACCCCGCGCCAGGGAGGGTAACCCGATTACCCCGTTTAGTAACCCCAATACACCGAGACCATGGGGGGGATGGATACGAGGACAAAGAGAAAGGAACCAGAGAAGAGAATGGAAAGAGGAAAGAAGATGGGGGGAGTGTAGGGGGTGGGAGAAGCAGGGGAAGTGCGAAAGTAGGTGAGGAGACGGGGAAAGTAGTAAAAGTGATCATGCATAAAAAGGGGGTGGAAGATGAACCACCGGGCCGATTCACGGTAACGGGAATATCCCGGCCACTTCACTCCAATCGCCCCAGCCGCCCGGATACGAAAGAGAAAGAAAGAAAGACACCGAACCGCCCCTCAGCACTGGTGGCGACCCGACCACCCCACCCCGCGACTCCAGCATGCCCGAGTCAGTTGGAAGTGGGGCACCCCTTCCCGGGAACCAACGGCAGTATCAGGAACAGCAGGCAGGGAAATGGGAAAACACGAACTAGATACGATGGCACCGGCAAGAGAGACGAACAGGAGGGGGGGGAAAGAGACTTAGTAAGGTGAACGAAGGGAAAGAGGAGACAAAGAAGAAAGGCGAACCTAGTCGAATTAGATGGGACGAACGGGAGAACGATAAAGGTGGGGGGTGGAGAGACATAGGGAACTCGGGACACACGACCACAGGAAGAGGAGGGGGAGCGGCTTGTAGGAACGACAGTGAGGCAACCAAAGTTAGTGGGGGCCCGAGTGAGAGAGTGGGTACCCCGAACCAGGCAGATCTGACTAATGGAAGGAATAAGAACGTAAGATCACAGGGGCAAGGAGAACAGGGGATAAGATCGAAGATAAGAGAAAGAGGGGGGAATGCCCCAGTTATTCCCAAGCCGTGAGCAAATGAACCAGATGAAGGCAACCACGTGAATGAGCCTTGCAGGATAGGAACAACCAA